AGCTGCTGTTGCTGCTGCAGCAGCTGCTGCAGCTGTTGCAGCTGCTGCAGCAGCTGCTGCTGCAGTTGCTGCAGCAGCTGCTGCTGCAGTTGCTGTTGCTTTTGGTTGCTGTTGGGAAAGGTGATAGTGGACGAGACGCTGCATCGCGCACCTTGCTGCAGCAGCAGCAGCAACGGCAAGGGCAGCAGCAGCAGCAACAGCAGCAGCGGCAAGGGCAGCAGCAGTTCGTGTTGGGTGTTTGTGCAGCAACAAGAGGAAGATGAGGAGGAGGAGGGGGAAGAGGAGGGGCAGCAGCAGCAGCAGCAAGAGCAGCAGCAGCAGGAGCAGTCAGGCCTCGAGCTCCGCAGCTTCACAATGGTCCCGTGTTCCTCCAGTAAGGAGTTTAGGGTTTAGGGTTTGGGGTTTAGGGTTTAGGGTTTAGGGCCATCCAGTTTATCTAGCGCAGTTACTAGAGCATGGGGTTTAGTGCCAAGGGTTTAGGGTTTAGGGTTTATGGATTCGGCTAGTTGCTAGGCTGATAAGCGCCCAAGAGTTTAGTATTTAGGGTGTAGGGTTTAGGGTTTAGGGTTTAGGGTTTAGGGTTTGCGTGTTGCGCTTCAGACGCCGTTGTAAACGCATGGGAGGAAGCTCTCGACCGCACAGCGGAGTTGCCTTTGGTCCAGTCCAAGACGTAAACCCTAAACCCTAAACCTTAAACCCAAATATTAAAACCCTAAACCCTAAACCGTAAACTCTAATATTAAAACCCTAAACCCTTATTTCCGAACTTGAGCCCGGCACCCCTGAGGAGCAAGGCGCTGCTGGGGAAAAGGTTGTTGAGAGCCTGGCGTCTTAAAGCGCAGGGTTTAGGGTTTAGGGTTTAGGGTTTAGGGTTGCGCGTTTGCTTCAGCTGCACGCCGTCTGGCTTGTACGGCGTGGAGGCCGAGGACGACCAGCAGCAGCAGCAGCAGCAGCAGCAGCAGCAGCAGCAGCGGCAGGGGTCGGTGGACCTGTGGTTTGAGGAAGGTGCAGCAGCAGCAGCAGCAGTTGCTGCTCCGCAGCAAGAAGAAATGAGGGGGCCCCTGTGTCACTCTTTTGCTTCTTATGATGCTGCTGCTCCTGTTCTAGAGAGGCCCCCCGGTGCTGCTACTTTCGTTACCCCCCACATTGCTGCACAAGTAACTGCTGCTGCTGCTGCTGCTGTTGCTGTTGCTGCGGGCCCACGCGCAGCTGTTGCTGCTGCAGTTGCTGTTGAGGGAGGGTGCTCCGCTTGCTGCTGTTGTTGCTGCTGCAGTTGGTGTTGAGGGAGGGCGCTTTGCCTGCTGCTGCTGCTGTTGCTGCTGCTGCTGCACAATTGCGGCTGCTGCTGCAGCCGCAATTGTGGGAGGGTGCTCGG